CTTATATCTGTAGAACTTGGTTTTTCATCAAATTTGGGAAATTTTCAGCCATTATTGTTTCTTCAACTATCTTTTCTCCCCTATTCTCTGTGCCTCCACTCCTTCTGGGACTCCAATTATATGTATGTCAGACTGCCTGAAACTGTCCCACAGATCATTTAGGTTCTACTCATTTTTATTTCTTCTCCAGATTATATTATTTTTATTGATCCTCAAGTTCACTGACTCTTCACTTGGTTCTCTTTTGTAATTTTTATTTTTCTGTGGGATTCTCCATCTGCTCATCTGTTATGATTTTATTTTCCTTTAAATCCTTAAATATGTTTCTAAACGCTTAAAGTCTTCTGTTAATTTCAACATCTGGATTATCTTAGGCTTAATGTTTATTAACTGTTTTTCCCCTTGATTCAATTTTCCTATAAATTTTTATAGTATAATTGACACTTTAAATGACATGTTGTAGAGATTCTGGATTATATTGTGCTCCTTTGAAAAGTGTTGACTTATAATGAGCAATAAACTTTGCTGAACTAAAACCCTAAACTTTTCTCCTTTGGAGTAGGCAGTATGTAAAATCTCTGTACTCAGTTCTTTCAACTTCTAACTGCTGCTTTTTTCTAGGGCCCCTAAAGTTTACCCAAATGCTTACATAGTTCACTAGTCAGATTAGGATCTGAATAGAGTTTATGCGTGGATTTTGGCACTTTGTTGCCCTCTTACCATGATGTCTCCCTCTATGTGGGGAAGGCATTAAGTTGGTTTCTTCATATAAAATTTAGCAAAATTTACTTGGAATTGAGTTTTATTATCTATACAGATTCTCTAATGGGAAAATCAAATACAAAGCTGCTATTAAACCTTCTTCTTCTACCTATGAAACCAGAGAGATTATGGATTAAAATATAGGTGGAAGGTAACATTACAGTAAAAATATCATGTTCAAAATTGAATGACTCTCTCTGTATAACAATTATCATAGAGCATAAACTATCAAATAGTTTTTTTAAGCCTTCAAAAGACAGTGATTTAAGAAAGGAAGTTTTTCCCAACCAAATTGAAATTGGTATAATTAAACTTGAGCATTTCCTTTTGTCCCTTGAAGAGTCTTAAAATCCAAACATACTGACATATATGTTATAAAAAAACATATGGATATATGGACTTAAATGTTTTGAGTGTGTTTTGTTGGATTCATATCTCAACTAGGGTTGAAAACAATTAAAATGAAAATCAAAGTGCTAAATCAAAGTCACTGAGGCTTATGGTGTTTCAATGCTCCAAAAAGAAAATGTATGTAGCTTGTATATTTTGACTGTTCAGTGAAATGTTATTGAACTCTAACTGAAGTTTAATTTGAAGATCTATTAGGGACATACATTTAGGAGCTATACAAACTGCTTTTCCTAGAGAAAGGGAGAAAATGGTTGGTTGGTATAGGGTAAAGTTTATCTTCCTTTAACAGCAGGTCCCCTTGAAAAGCTAAAAACTTCTCCAAGGGAAGAGACAGGAAGAGGATGCAGACTAGTTCCTTCTGATATGCTATGAAGTTGCAAAGTTTACTAAGCAGTGTGTACATAGTAGCAAAATCTCAGAAGGAACCACTTTGACATGGGGAAATGTTTCTGAAATATTCTGCCATCAGTGCATTTGTTTATTCCCTGGAGTTTCCTTTCCAAAAATATAAATAAAAACTATTGCTGACAGATTCCTTGCCTCTTTACTCATGCATTACACCAGTGTTTTGCAATCTCTTTTTTCCCCATTATTGTCCCCCCAAGGAGTCTTCTGTAGACTATTTTTTTGCTAATCACCACCCTCCCATGAAACTTGTACAGTGACCCTTTTGGGGGGCCACAAACCATTATATTCAAGATTTTTTTACTCTCCCTCCAAGAAATAATTTTGTCCCTTTGGGAATAATATTGGCTCATTAAGAAACAGAGTACACGAAGAAAATCAACCCTACACAACCCTGATTTTCCTGATTTTAATTTTTAATTTAATTTTTAATTATATAGAATTGTTTTTAATTATATAGAATTATATAAAGTCTATATAAGTTCTATATAATTTCCAATTATAAATGCAAGAGCCAAAGGGAGGCAATTCACAAGTGGGAATGTAAAATTCATTATCTCTGAAAGGTGAACAAGGATAGTATAGACTTTTTCTTTTTTTTTTTTTAAGATTTTATTTATTTATTTGACAGAGAGAGAGACAGCGAGAGAGGGAACACAAGCAGGAGGAGTGGGAGTGGGAGAGGGAGAAGCAGGCTGCCCTCTGAGCAGGGAGCCGGATGCAGGGCTCGATCCCAGGACTCTGGGATCATGACCTGAGCCGAAGGCAGTTATAACCTGAGCAGAAGGCAGACGCTTAACCGACTGAGCCACCCAAGCGCCCCGAATAGTATAGACTTCTTATGGTGACTTCTAGATACAAGAAAATGTTGATGGGGGATGGTGTTAAGGAAAGAGAGGGAAAATAATTTATATGCTTGGTTTAAATTAACACTTAAAAATAACTGAGTGAATGAAATTAATCGTAAGGGCCAGAAAATTCAAACCTTAATAAAGAAAATTTTCAGTAAAACCCTTATCATAGTAATAAACTCGAATAAAATTAAAGCCAGTTCTCATTCTTTTCAACCCTACATCACTGGAGAAAATATAATGACTAGTTTTTAAAAGCAAATGTAAACACAAAGTATAAAAGTATGAAAGGATCAAAGTCCTTATAATTGAATTCATTTCCTGGTATTGATATTTACTTTTTAAAAAATGTGTTTCTTAACAGTCATTATACAAAGACAGCTTAAAGGAGGCAAAAACTTTAAATTGAAATTGACTTTAGATAAATGAAAACCTTAAAACTACCATCTAAAACACAAAACAGAGATTTCCTAGATGGAATAATTAAAGATAAAATTCTTTGGCTTATAGAAAGAAGAAAATAAAGATGTAAAAATACTCATATCTGAAAAGATCTCAAAGAGATATTTGCACACCCATGTTCATTACAGCATGAATCACAATAACCGAGAGGTAAAAACAACCTAAATGTCATCAATGAATGAATAAAAAGTGTAATACATACATTCTATAGAATATTATTCAGCCTTTAAAAAAAGGAAATCCTGTCACATGTTACAACACTGATGAACCTCGAGGACATTATGGTAAGTAAAATATCCATTCACAAAAAGACAAATATTGCATGACTTCACTTATAAGAGGTACTCAGAGTAGTCAAACTCATAGAAACAAAGTAGAATGTGGTTAGCAGAGGACGGGGATGAGAGGGAAATGGACAGTTGTTCAATGGGTAGAAGTTTCAGTTTTGCAAGATGAAAAAGTTCTAGACATCTGTTGCTCAACACTGTACTTATGGTTAATGGTTAAGATGATATATTTTATGTTATGTGTTTTTTATTACAATTAAAAAAATTCTGATAGTCAAACCAATAAATCAAATTCAGAACATACCTTCTCTAGTTTCTTCGCATATAATTCAGATATACAAATAAAACTACAGCAAACAAACTCTAAATAAATCTGGGCAGATAAAATATACTTTAATGTATAAAATAACTACTATCCACCTATATCATCAACCTAAATTCAACTGTATATTGATAACATTCAGCATACTTTTATAGGTCTATAATCCTTATATAAAACTCCCAGGTAACTCCATTTTAGAATGCAGAATTCTTCAGATTTTAGAAAAGTAACATAGCACATATATTATAATATAACTCCCACAGCAGGGGTTAGGGCAGCATCCTGTCATCAAGTACATAACTATTTCTGCAGCAAAAATTATGAACAGTCACATTAGGTAGGATAATTAAAGACTATAAATAGCCTCATGTCAGTTCAGGTCAGGTCAGGTTTTGCTGCCAGGAGCTTTTTAGATTTTGGGATTCCAGATAAATAAATATTGTGGGTCCATTATTCCAATTAAAGAATCTCAACATTTTTAAGTTAGCAAATATTAATTCTTTATTCCTCATAATTTCACTAACTGCCAGTGTAATTCCAGGTAGGAAAAAAAAAACCATGGCTAATTCAAAGTCACCACACACCAGCATAAAAAACACCCATAGTTAGAAACCATCAGTTCAAGAACCAAAGATTCTACACAAATTTTGACTTTATCCTAAATTCTTTTTTTTGAGTGTAGTTGACACACTATCCTAAACTCTTTAAGCTCTATTTTGTGTATTTGTTTTTAATCTCTATCTGCACTGTCCAAATGACAGTTATTAGCTACATTCGGCTTTTGAACAGTTGACTGTCTCGTCTCAAGTTGAGATGGACTGTAACTGCAAAATCTCACTGATCATTTTTGTACTGATTACATGTTTAAACAATAATCTTTTGGATAAACTAATTAAACAAAAGTATATTATTAAAATTCACCTGTCTGTTTACTTTTATAACCTACCTACTAGGAAATTGGAAATTATATATGTGGCTGGCATTACATTTCTACTGTAGAGTGTTGCTCTGGTATCATGTCAGTTATAATGGCTGAAACTAATTATAATTAAAATATTACTTCCTCGAGGATTCCTCTCCTAACTACCCAAGACTGGGGTGGATAGGAACCCAATGTAATTCTGTTACTCCTTATCCTTCTATCATAGTACTGTTTCATTATATTTTAGTTGATTTTTGTCATTATCCCACCAGGCTGAAAGTTCCTTGAGGAAAGAGACTGGATTTTTTTTTTTTTAATCTCTGTGTACCTACGTTATAGCACAAGCATAGAGCAAGCATTCAGTAAATGTTAAAAACGAATCAGAATGTCCCAATGAAATACTATTAAGTTGATGTGAAAAGTCACACAAAATTCTGAGGCTATAAAAGACTAGAGCAATAAGCAATCATAAATTATATTCTCAGCCTTTCAAAAATATCAACTAAAATACCATTAAATTTTTAAAGTTTCAATTTGTTACAGGAAAAAACAGGATATTAAAATCTATGTTTTCTCACCTGAAGTCAAATTCCTAGCTGTACTTTGTGATTTCTGCATTTCCGTAGATTTAAAATTGAGATCATCCTGCATCATCTTCAGCTCTTGATTGGTGATAGAAGAGATCTGTTTCATACGATTTATATTCTGTATTTGTAGAGAAATAAAAATGGAAAAAATTCAACTGATTTGATTCTCCAAGAAAACTCTTGGAAAACACTGCTAAACAACTACATGTTCTGAATCGGTATTCTTTTTTGAAATACATTATTTATCATGTATGTTTAGAAAAATATAGTGAGATTAAAAGTCAGGTTTTTGCAATAAGGAGACTAAATTAAAGCTAATGTAAAAGAAACAATTCTGAATTTTATCTCACTGTAGAAGAAATTCAAATACACTATTTTAAGAACTGCTTGGAGTCTTAAGACACACAGAATATTTAAAAGAGACTGCACATTTTTCCTTCTATTCCACCACTCATTAGTAGCTGCTCAACAAACATTTTTTTATGAATCAAGATATTCCTTGATAACCTATACTCTTGTAGGTTCTTACAAGAAAAGAATCCCTTCTATTCATAATACAAATGATTGTGTAAAAATGTATCAACATTTTCCATTAGAACATCTAGACTTTGAAGTTTCTGTGCAAACGTTACTTCTCCAAGTTCAGATACGTCAACAATGGAAGAAAATCATAATAATTACTCTGAATTGGCCCCTTACCTACGCTAAAAATTGACATTATACATATCTCATCCTTTTCCCCTATCATCCATAGATGAATTTTGCTAGAAATACAAAAATTAATAGCTTAAAGAAATAAAACAATAAGCAAGGGGATTTAAAGGAAACAGATTAAATGAACAGATGCAATAGTGAACCACTGCATTTCTTTGAGCTGTATTTGGAAAGGTAATCACAGTAAAAATAATGAGGACGCTAAGACAGGTACATGGCACTCACTCGACTACCATGCTCCAAAAGTGCAACAATGCTGGCTTCTATCTGTGCCTTCCTTTCCAGTTCCTGATTCTTAGTTTCATCAAAAGTCTCAATAAAAGCTGCAGATGCAAAATATGATGAGAAGCTACGGTTAATATAGTTAACACTATATAAGTTCTGATCTATAGATCTTAGTACTTTCTAGAAATTCAAAGCAAATTTTCAATTATTACTATGTAATCTTTTATTAACCCAAGGGTAATTAAATTACTCAATAAGAATATTTCTACATACTTTCCAGCTTTTAAAGCTTAATAGTTATGATCTTAATACAAATAAACTAAAGGTTAAAAATTTGGGCTCAGAAGTAACAGCTGATATTAAGGAGAACATAAAAAAAATCTGTTTTTACAGGTCTCCTTGATATATCTATAATTATTCATACTTACAATTAGCCACTAATTTTAATATGGAAAATAGTTGCTAATCTGAAAATGAGTATTTTCTTTAAAATGTTGCATTAATCTCAACTAAGTAAATTAAATAATTTATTCACATTATAAATATTCTAAGAAATCTTCCTTTCTCTTGTCTAATACAGAATCAGTACGTAATTTACTCTTTTTCATATTCTTAAGGTATTTCTATGGCTCTTTCAAAAATAAAAACTTACAGTTAAAATAACTTTACTGTTAGCAAGAAACAACGAATTAATTTTGAGATAATTTTTGGTACTTGCTGAGTTTTTTTTTTTTTAATATTTTATTTATTTATTTGAGGGAGAGAGACAGCGAGAGAGGGAACACAAGCAGGGGCAGAGGCAGAGGGAGAAGCAGGCTTCCCGCTGAGCAGGGAGCCCGACGTGGGGCTCGATCCCAGGACCCCGGGATCACGACCTGAGCCGAAGGCAGACGGTTAACGAATGAGCCACCCAGGTGCCCCAAGTATTTGCTGAGATTTTAAAGAAATCTTGGGATATTGTTAAATCAGAGTTGGCAATTACTACTTTATGGCATGCTTTTATGAAGGTAACAATTAACATTGGACCAATAAAACTTTACATTCTAGCAAAAATGATTATTAAAAAGGGAAACCAGTAACAGATAATAAAGATCAATTTTTTAAAATTTATGAATGTACAACACAATTAAGTTTAAGTGAAGCTCTACTTACAAAGTTAAGATTTTTAAAAAGTAAATGAGAAGCTGCAACAGAAGGCTACTAAAAGCTACAGTCAGTAACAGAACCAAGTAGCAAGATCTGGTAAAGGCTGATAAATAATGAGAGGAAGTATTATGAAAAGCTAAAAAAAAAGGCAAAAGATACTAAAGATGAATACAGTGAAGCAGGAAAAAGAGAACATTCAACATTCAATCAGTAAGTGGTCTCTATACAAACAATAAATGTAAGTACTAGCTTTAGAATCTATCCCTAGCACAAAACTACTCATACACACACAAACGTGCAAAATCTTTTTAAAATTCTCTACCCATTCCTAAATTATGCTAGATATTAATTCTTCAAGGCAAATACTTTGAATGTCCATACTTCTGCATTTATTATTAGCCACTGTATCTTCCCAAAATGAAATCTCTGATTTGGTATACATGAACAAATACCTGAGAATATTTTCATATCAGTAAGGTCACTTACTGTCCATATTTTCCTCTCGTTTTTTTAGTTCCTTGTACTTCTGATTCATTTCGCCTATAAGAGATACAAAATATAACATCAATTTCAAAAACTCCAGACATAGTGCTCTAAATGTAAAATATTTCTTAGGTTTTTCTATATACCAATAGTTATTGAATATTCAATATTTTCAATTCAGTGAAATTTTTTTAATTAACATACAATCTTTTAAAACAACTATGTATGTATGTTTGATAATTCGGAAAAAATCTCCTGACTGGAAAAGACTAAATGCTTTCCAATGGTTCTCTATTTCAGTCCCAACTTGGACCCACTCAACCTGCACATGAACACTACTGGTGATGGGAAACATAAGCTCCCCAAAAAGTTCATTCCCATCTTTGAATAACTCACAACAGCAGGCAAAATAGCAAAGTAACCTCCCTCACAGACCTTAAAGTCTACGAAGACTGAACAAGCAATTAGAATTGCTATCGTATGCAAAAGGGTGCTGTAAGAGCACAAAGACAACTTATCTAGTTAAGGAATTTCCAGGAATTTTCTCTAAGGAAGTAATAGTTAAGCTAAATTATAAAGAACAAATGAATAGGAGTTACCTGGTTGAAACAGAGAAGAGGTTCAAAGTCAAAGCATTGCAAGTAGGGAAACCCAAAAGTGAGGATGAGTATGGCAGCACAAGGAACTGAAAGAGTGGTATGGCTGAGGCAGAGAATGTGAAGTGAAAAAGTGGCACAAAGAGGAGGCAAATGATGAGAGACCTTATAAGACACATATTATAAAAGTTTGGACAATGTAAGGACAATGGTAAAACTACTGAAGAATTTTAAGCAGGGGAATAAAATGATCAATTTGCATTTCTGAAAAATATTTCTGGTTGAATGAATAAAAGGCAAGTAATACTGGAGGCAATATGACCAGTTAGGAGGTTGTCACAGTAAGCCAGGTAAAAGATGAAGGTTTCTTGGAGTAGAGCAGTGGCAATTAGGATGGAAAGTAGATTTTCAATCCAGTCACTTAAGAGCCAGAGTAAATAGATTTTGTATAACTCTCAGGTTTCTGGCTTGGGCAACTGAAGACATGGTAGTATAATTAACCAAAAAGAGAAGCAAGTTTAGGAACAAGTTGCTTACAACAGGTTTGGACATGTTGCATTTAATATATGTGGAAGACATGTTAAAAGGGCAAAAATCCAAGACCCTGACAAATGGATGAAGCTGGACACTTTAGCAGCATAAAGGGGCCATTAACAGAGGTAGATCGTGATTATTCTATAACAAAAGGATTTTCCGTGTAACAAAAACTGAGTTTTGGAAGGACACCACTATTTCCCTAGACTAGTGAGACCCTGTGTTCTCAGGGTCCCAGGTAGAGAAAGCAGAATAAATTTGCGCTTGCAACAACCTGTAATTTCTTTATCTAAGTCAGTCAATTTTTAGCATTCTGGAAAAACTAAGGAACCTTATTAAGATGATGCCCAGTAAGGATGGAGAGAATAACAGACTTGAGATTCCTAAGGTGGTTCCTGATAAGAAGCTGCGCATTTAGAAGAACTTGAAGGGTTCAAAAAAAAAAAAAAAAAAAAAAAATCAGGGGAGCCAAAAGTTACAGTGCAGAGGTTAAAATGCAACGGTCAGCCTGTATTCTGTATAAACTCCTATGCAGTTTTTTCAAGTACTGGCTAAAGTTAGGAAGTAGAGTAAGACAGTTGGGGTAGAGCCTCGAATTACATGGAGGCATGGACTTTGTTATTAATAACAAATTTGTATATGATTAAGTTTTTTCAAAAATAGATTACAGACAAATTAAAATTATGTCACCATTCACACTCACTTTATGGCAATAGTTTTTGAGTGAGAAACAAAGAATTAGAGCTGGAATACCCTCCATAGGAGGGTAATATGCATGGAAATGTTATACAACGTATGTGAAGTAGCAGAAAAGCTAGTTTCTGCTGAACCTGCCACATCCTAGGTTTCTAAGAACGTCCTGGTTGTCTGAGAAGTCCCACTCTTCAGAGATTGGTTAGGCATTAAGGGATTAGGAGGAAGGTCTGCATCCTAGGCTTTATAAAAATTTAACTACCATCTTATCTCTTTCTTCTTACAAACTTAAAAGAATCTCCTGTACATGCTTTTTAAAGTTCTTCATCTTGCTATCAGACCTCAAGATACTGTAATGAGGCTTCTCCTTCTGCCATCCCAATGAAATTTCTCTCAGTAAGATTATGACTCCTTAATTATCAAATCCAAGGGGCAGTTCCCAGTTATTTCACCCTGCAACATCTGACACTATTGATACATTCTTCCTTCTTTTCAAATCTTTTCCTTATGTATTTTTGTTGTTGGGGTGGGAACTTCTTTGGTTTTTCTTACTCTCAGATCATTCCTTATGTCTTCTCTCATGGCTTTCCCTTTCTTCTACATTTAAATTCTGGTTTCTGCTTTTAGTTGACTTCTAATACTACATTATTTGACCTTTTCCCTAATTTTCTGATTATTTTATCCAACTGCTTACTAGATACATTCATGTGGGTATCTTTCAGGACATCCTAATAGTAAATTCATAATTAAACTCATCAGTCTTCCCTTTCAAAGTCTGCACCTCTCCGTATTCCCCATTATATTTAGAAGTCCTTGGCCACAGACTTATCAACCAAGTCAGAAACCTGGGAGAATATTCCTTTCTTCTCTTCTCAAATCCATGTTCTTAACTGTCATCAGATTGAGCTAGAAGACATATCTGGTCAATGTCTCCAGCTACACGGCTGGCCAGCTGGATTAGATAGGACAGAGATCTCATATATCTTAGTAGATTCCCAAGCTTCATAAAACCTCTTCCCATATCACTGTTGCTAAGAGGAAAAGAGATCAGGGAACTAGTGAACTCCTCTAGTTTACGATTTCTCAGTTGGAGGATTCATATCTGAGCGGCCCATGAGAAGCAATGTACAGATGTGGACAGTCCTAAGTTAAGGTAAAATACAGGAGTTATTACCAAATCTATTCTTAGATTTACTCTCATAGGAGAGGACAAGATCATATACTGGGGATGCTAATCAGTATGTCACACTGGAGGTGCAAAAGCAGGTAAGTGAAAGGGTCTAAAGTAGTAAGATCAAGGAGACCAAAGGAGAAGGAAGAGGGCACATTGATAAAATAAGGGTTATTTTAGAGCTGTCCTCAAATTCTTAACATTTGATCTAATTATAGTTCTACATAATTTATTTATTCCAAATTTACTGAATGCCTGCTATGTGCCAGATACTGTAGTAGGTGCTGGGGAAATCAAAATGAACAAGATAGTTACAACTCTATCCTAGAGGAGCTTACAAATTATTAGATGTACCAAACCAAAAGTTACAATGGAACATAAGTGCTCTAAATGAGGTATGTATGAAGTCCAATAATAAGCAGATAGGTGAAAGACTTCAGCAGGTTCTTATATAGAGAAAAATATTTATCAGGAAGGCACTCTAACAGGTAATGTAGGAATTACAGAGATGAAGAGGACCCTTGCCTTCAAGACATTTATACTCTACAATACAAGTACCCCCAAATTATAAACTATAAATTCAGGCTTTTTTCCCTCACATGGAGGAAAAAAGAAATGGGTATGGACTATTACAAAAGACTTGGAAAACTGTAGAGAGGATATCATTGTTTTCTGATGCTCTCTGCCATAGAAAGATAGTGGAGTAAGGGAGATATGCTTTTCTTGCACTACCAAGGGACTGAGGAGCATCACAGCCTCCTTTGTCCTCACTGCCAGTTCATCTGACTCTTCTCCACCATCCAGTGTTCCCTTGATTCTAGGCTTTCAGAGCTATCTTGACTTTTATATTCTGAGAAGTAGTTCTGCCCCTGAAGAAGGTCTGAGTACCATTTTTCCCCCATCTTCTATCTTGATTAATATATAAAAAGCCATATGCTAATGACTCTTCTGGCCTCAAGCTCCCCAAACTGGCAGGCCTACTGATTTTGGAGGTGAAAGCGCAGCAAACAGAAAATAAAATTAGAGAAGGGGGCCAAGAATAAAACCCCAAAGGACTTCTGCATATCCAAATTCTTCCTATCTAGCACTTGGGGTCCTTCTGAGGCAAGCTAAGTCTCCCCAGTGCCTTTGAGTGTTCGATACCTTTGAATGTTCCTTATGTGACATGGTTTTAGTCTCTACCATTCTGCTCATTCTACTCTTAGTGAGTTCCAGTTCTTCTTTATCCCTTTTAAAGTATAATGCCAAGGGGTGCCTGGGTGGCTCAGTCAGTTAAGCGTCCAACGCTTGATTTTGGCTCAGGTCATCTCAGGGCCATGAGACTGGGCTCTGTGCTGGGTGTGGAGCCTACCTAAGATTCTCTCCCTCTGCTCCCTACAAGAAAGGGGAGGGGAGCGGTGGGGAGCGGAGGGGAAAGGGAAGGGGAAGGAGAAGGGGGAAGGGGAAAGGGGGAAGGGGGAGGGGAAGGGGAAAGGGAAGGGAAGGGAAGGGAAGGGAAGGGAAGGGAAGGGAAGGAAAGGAAAGGAAAGGAAAAGAAAGAATAATGCCAAGAAATTTAGGATTCGAAACTATCACTTCCCACGTCTATATATTCATCTTTCTGTTAATGCAACCTAGGATTTCAGCTGTTTTGGAGGCTGTATCACATTAATTCATACTGAGTTACAGTTTAAATCTCCGCTAACATTTTCACATATTTTAGTAAGCCAGGACACTTTCTCCTTCCCCTTCCTACTTCGATTTTAATCAGTTTGGGGTTCCTATTAAATTCCATCTTTTTATATTCAGTTTCTCTCTCCCACCTACTTTTCACCTGTCATTAGAGCAGTAAGTAATAAACAAGCATATCAAACTGGTATGTTAAAACGAGTCCATATAAGTTTAATGTTTTAAGCTACCTTTTGGCTTCAGGCTTCATCCAACTTATCAACCACACATTCTCTGCAAAATGTTTTAAATTTTGGCAGGCAAGTTTCTTTACAGCTATGCAGACCAAGTCTGATAATATTATTTCTACACACTGGAAGCACTTTAAAAATACATAATAAAAATTCTCTAAATAT